CAATGCTGGTTGGGGACTTCACACGTTTTCCGAAGGCTGTGAACCTTCTTCGACGTGCAGGTTTCATCATGACGTTTTTCTTCACCGAAAAACTTTCATGATAAATTTCAAAAATACAGAATTGCGAGTCCGGATTCGATCCCACGGCCTCTGCTTGAGAGGTGGCAGGTCAAACCATTAGGCTTCCACGGTTTTTTACAGTGAGGCAACAATTAGTGTAATGCAAAGTTCCAAAATTATTTGTTAAGCATTTTACATTTTATAGTAGCCGTAGAGCTCCTTGTGAAAGAGTTCGTCCAGGGAAGTACTGCTTGCCTTGCCTTACCTTGCCTATTTCTGTCGCCAAGTAGTAATGTGAGCATTACTGGGTTGCGGTTTTGAAGGGCAAGGGTGCTGGTGAAATTACAGGCACATGGGACTTTTCAACTTATGTTTCAGGGTGATGGGCGCAAAGACAGTACACCTCAGATGTTTGCGACTCATTTTTCTGAGTGGCACTGCAACTGTTATGGACAGGCGTGTCGTTTATCATCAGTAGTATCACATCACTTAGTATCATAAAACAAATGACATATGACAAACTTACAATCTGATAATGTGTTTGTTCGGTGTGCATCTGAGCGTATGTGGGGTATGTGTCTACGTGGCACTAAGATGAAATAGATTAAGTAGTTGTTATAAGTAAGCCTATATCGCTATAACTCTGAATCTCATTCTTGACAATATGCCGCAAGCGTGCCTTAGCTAGACCTCCTTAATCGTTAGTTTTTATTGTTTTGTTTCGCGTTCACGGCGGGCAACGAAAGCTCATTACATTGCAAAGACAAGTTGTTATTTTCTTAAACAGACGCCTTGGGCCTTATACATCACTTTGGTACCGAGTAATTGAATCTTACAGAAATAAAAATAGTCGCTCGCGATGCCGTGCGCGATGTAATTTAAGATTTTGATCGCGTAGATAATGAACGCCAATGCGATTCTACACATTAACTTTCACTGTTGTTACAACGTTTCAATGCTGGCCTTAAAGCCTCCTTTAGGAAACCACAGGAAGTGAGATTAAAACGACAGTTTTGTTTTTATTAGTTGAGAAACTGTTGTGCTAATATGCTAAGACGGTATTGATGCCGTTCTCTAGTAACCTTTATTACACTTCTATATTTGTGTGTTATTAGTTTTTTGTCCACCCATACATCATCAACCCATTCTCAGACCATAGTCTAAGCCGAGCGGGCTGAAGACTTTACACGTTTTTCGAGGATTGTGAACCTTCTTCAACGATGTTTCTCCTTCACTGAAAAGTTCATAGCAAATTTCAAACTAAATTTTGCACATAAATTCCGGAAAGCTCAGAAGCAAGAGCCCGACTACCATGGCTTTTTTGTCTATCCACACGGAAGTTGTATATTATTTAAAATATTGATATATTAGTAACGAGGCCTGTGCCCCTTGGGGTCTGACTAGGCCTGCTGCTCGTGGTCGGGTTTAGATTACGGGATGTGCTTATGATGCGAAATCCGCCATACTCGGCAGTAACGAATGGTATGTTCAATAAATAGAAGAAACGTCGAATTTGACAATTGAATTATTGAATTATATTATTTAGCGTCTGTAAAAATTTTTAATACGTTTTGTAGATATCATTATTAATATAATTGAGGTAGTTATGCGATTTGGTTCAATTTAGGAAATGTACATTAAGTAGGTATGTTCAGGTCTGGGTATTCTTCAGAGTAATCAATACTCTTGTACTCAGTATACAGGAAATTCCCTAGATTGGGACTAGAAAATTGGTGTAATTATCTGGCATTATTATTATATTATACGTATTTTTCCCTAAAATAACCTATTTGGCAAAGCGTCCAAGAAAAAGGAAACTAACAGGGAGACGTTCGAGATACAACAACACCTTAAGTATCAAAGTATCTTATTTCCGCTATATCGGGAATTACGCTTTCCATTTTTAACAATTGTGAGATTTTGTACTCGTGATAGAGCCTCCATATATTACCTTTTGGTTTTTTGTATTATAATATCAAATGACGGGACGAACAAGTCGTACGCCTGATGGTAAGCTATACGCCTGTCCATAACAGTTACAATGCCACTCAGAGCTTTAAATCGCAAAGGTTTGAGGGGTGCTGCCACTGCACCCGTCACTCTGAGATGTAAGTTGACAAGTCTCTTATGCCTGTAATTTCACCAGCACCCTTACCGCTCAAAACTGGAACACAGTAATGTTGACATTACTACTTGGCGGCAGTAATGGGCAAGGCGGCAGTATTTCCCTGGACGAACTGATTCCTGTACGTGGCGAGCGAACGCCTCGGCCTGCTAATTTTGACTTTACTTTTAAAAAATTAAAATAGATATTTACTGGCGGCCATATTTAAAATTTTTATCAGCCGCCAAAAAAGTATAATAAAAGTATATTTTGTTCGCAAATTATAATTAAAAACCAATGAGACCCCCACATGCCGATTTTCAGTCAAATTAGAGCAAATTTTCTTCAACTGCCATATTTAAAGAAAAAACTCTCCTACCTATCTTAAATAGTTTCTGTGATAGGAGACTTTGAAATTTGTATGGTGGCCAACTTGTTTATTTCAATTTCGAACATTTTTTACTTCCAACTGAAATTGCTCAAGGTGTAACCTCATAAAAGTGCACAAATGTTCCCTATCCTACCATCCCCAAATATTATAGTTTTTGCAGGCCGTTGATCAATTTTTTTTTCCACATTCAGGTTACCTCGTATTTGATTCTTTGCTTTGGAACATATCCGCATACAACGGTTTAACTAACTTTTTTCCACCGTCGAAAAATAACGCTTACTTCCCGATGGAAGTAAGCGTTATTTTTCATTAGTGAGTTTCATCTTGTAGATGCTGACTCTGTATGTAGCTTTGTTGATAAACCGGTTGCCCTAGTTTGGCACAGACGACAGAGGTTCGAGTCCTGCCAAATCGAAGGATTTTTTCTTTGGTTTGATCTTTGTATTAATAATTATAACAAATAGTGGAGTAATTTCACAAAAAATAAATGTGTATCATGGCAGCAAAATATCGTAATATTAATTACAATCAACATTACCGTATTACATTGATTCTGATTAATCAGCGTCCATTAGTATTACCACACCCATCACCCAATTGAGACTGTAGTCTTTTTTTACATCTATCCTGCAGTTGACAAACATAAATATGAAAGTAAGTTCAACGGAGCCTTAAATATTAAACAAATGGATGTATAAACCAAGACATAAGTAAAAAGACAGTAAAGAATAAAACCAAAGCAAAACTAAAATGAAATTGTTTAAGTTATACTTTGAAAAACAAACTCAATTATAAGAGGAATACGCTCTCGGCTAATTAAAATATATAATTGTAAGTTTAGTGAGCACGTTTCAGACTTAATAACGTTTCTATGTTGCTGAAGGCTATTTTCGTGTAGGAGGTAGAGTGGAATGCATCCGTAGATGAAATTAAATACTTGAAGATTGTGAAAAACACAATTATTATTTTATTAATACATGATACTAATATTATAAAGAGGCAATACTTGCATGTTTTAAGGTAACTGATTTCATAACCTACGCTCTCATATCGGTCTCTGGATGAGGTTGGCAGAGACTAAGAACCTCCATTTGCTACGCGTTTGACATTTTTTCACCACCATCACCACCGTCATCTTCTGTCGCTTTCTTCTTCAGTCTTTTTCATTTGTCCTTATCTTTACAAATTTATAATATTTTTACCATTGCGACATTGAAGTTTAGTAATGGTTTACTAAAAGAAGAACTGATGGTAGCGCCGCATAGAGAGATCACGTTGTCGGTCCCCGGAAAGACGGATTTACACTATTGCTTCGTAATAGAGTGTATTTGCAGCGCCGTCAAACTGAATAGAGACTACAATTCTATCAAGAGCGCTGCGATTACGAAAAAGTTTTCTTTTACTTAGCTCTTACTCCTGTAGGTAGTTAGTACGGTTAAAGAACTCTAAGTATGTTTATTCGGACACAATATGCCATTTACGAAACGGGCCGAAATTCAAAGTAGTGTGAAGTTTAATATAATTCATTGTTTCCCTGACGTAACTTTTGCTAAGTTTACTAAACAACATATACACAACATATTTATAAATAAAACAAACATAGTTGTAAATTTTTTATAATAAATTGAACCCGTTTCACAGCAAGCTCATGGCATGATATCTGACGTTGCTGGCAAGAAAAAGTTTTCTCACATAAAATGCTCTTTGTTTCGCAATGTTCATAAAGTCGTTCACACGTTGACTCTGGAGACTGTTATGTGCACTACGAGGTAACTACATGCGGATGAATTCTCACTATACATGCGGATGGGTACTTCATTCACATCCGATGCGACGGGGCTTACCTTGCTCTCAGATATTTTATGTCATGCCTTCCTGCTGTAAATTTATAATGCAGCAGAATGACGATAAATGTTTTAATTCTGTGAAGGTACGTTTTTAATTTATGCGATATTTTTAATAGGACTTGGTAAAATTATCTATAGTTCTAGATGTACGTTTTAAAAATTAATCGGAGTGGAATTTTTAATGTTCATCTTAAAAATAACAAATAAAATACTTATTCCATATCAATGTGGACACAAATTGTATTGTAACGTTATGGATAGTTAGAGAGGCTTAGGCCAGTACCGATGGCGTTCCCTGATGCCATTTGGAGTTCCGTTGTCTTGTCGCCTAGTTCAGGCGCAAGCTAAGGTTTTGCGAGCGTTAGCGCTGGTAAATTGCACTGTTCAGCTCCGGGCGCTTTATTGAAAATTCGATCTATCTGTTACAGCGAGAAGGGTGTCTAGCGCAGGAGCAATTTGTGCTTTGCGCGCGCGCACGTAAGGTCTGCAGTGCAGTGAGTCCCGTGCCGGCACGAGTCCGTTATCCGGCGTCAGGTTACGGTCGCGTCTATATAAGACCGCGGCGTCTTCTTTACCATTTCATTCCGTTTGAGACGCCTGGCTGACGGTGTGTCTCTCGTCGTAGTTGTAGTGCCGGCGTTCGCGAGCACCTCGTTCATTCCCTTCGCTTTCCGGTCACTCGTTAAGCATCCAGTGCTCGCGCGTTTGTGCTCGGGACACAGTTCAGTTTCGTGAAACTTTTGAACATTAACACGTGCATCAGTTGCTGATAGTGAGCTGACACGGACATCAGGTTTGTACACGTTGTGCTAATTTGTTTTCATTTGCATTTATTATCGTTACTCTAAACTGTTAACTAATATTTAGTATGCTAATTAGTTGCGGTGTACGCGTATTTGGACAGTTGGTTGGTACATTTCCTAATAATAAAGAATTTAGAAAATTTTGGTAGATAACATTGCAAGTCAACGTTTATTGCTCTAGTTGATTTGTTGTAAGTATATAAGGAGAATAGAAAGCTTTTATGCAAGTACACGGCACATCAAGCATGACGGACCCTATTTTACAAAAAAAAAAAAAAAAAATTGTACGAGAACAGTTTACTTACATTATGAATTAAATTAGATTTTCTAGGGGTAACAAAAAGGTGCAAACGTTGTATGATATGCGGGTGTATGCATTCATTACACTAGTTAACATTAGGTAGAAATTAAAATATCATTCGCAAAATTTTATCTTTAACTTTTCGTACATTTTACATATAGCAACGATGACAGATTTGTCCGGAAAGATAAATTCTTTTTCGAATAAAATATTTAATTTTTGACTGAAGCTATTTACGTAGACTTAAAAATTAAATTTGATTTCTTTATATGAGGAATTTATGTATCACGTTAAACTTGCAATTGTTATGGGAAAATACAACATTATAAAATGTCGTTAAATGAAATGAAAGTGCATAGATTTGTTAGGTGACTTAGAATATGCTTCAAGTATCTGTAATAAAATGAATATGCATTGGATCCCTTTGGATAACGAACTTCGTTAAAATGCAAGTTCGATGCATTGAACTTTCTCTTCTGAAGTCGTAAAATTCTTCTTAGCACTTACTCCAGAACGCATGTCTACATAAAAACGGCTAATACGACTAATACATCATAGAGACTTGCACGTTTCTAAATTACAGTCGGAGCCATAAGTTTTATTCGCACGGTTGTGCTATGGCCAATGCAATGGATGCGCCGACGCAAGTTATTGGTACGAAGATGATAGAATGATTGCCATCATTATAGGAGAATTACACGGGGACGAGTCTACTACCATTATATGCATTCGCGTGAGATACCATCCGCTCACCATTGTGGTTTACAGGTTTTTGTTTCCAGCAAATGGACTTCAAATCGTCTATCAAATGAAGTAATTCCCTTTGTTGTAGATTAGTTTTGCGCTTCTGGCGATATTGCTGTACATTGCAATATACATCGCGATTTTGAAGAACAAATCTGAGATTCAAACCTCCAGTACCTAAAATAGAATATACAGCATTCGTTTTGAAATTAAGTGTCAATTGTCTGCTTTCCAATCGTAGACACAATAATATAGCATCTTCAAATATTCCTTAGTAGAAATTGAATATTATGTACACTAAAATACATTTTTTTTACTAAAAAAACCGACTTCAAAAGTTTGTGGAAATACGTTTGACTCAAATCAATTAATGGAAAGTAGGTGAAATCCAATAAACCTGATGTTTTCCCTAATTTGTTATTCTTAGAGGTGGAAAAGTTTCTTCAAATTTAAATAGCACTACTACTAAGGACCTCCATTCCGAAAAAAAACGTTGACATCGTTTCACAAACGTCGGGGTAATCGCGTAACATACAAAAAAATACATTCGAAATGAGAACTTCCTCCTTTTTTTTAATTGACGTGCTACTACTATTTCCTTTTACTAAAAAAAGATTAAATCTGTTTGTATAATAAATATTAAAAAATGCTTACGAAATTTGTCTCAATGATATAAAAGTCAAAGGCGATGAAGAATTCAATTACCTACAGGAATACGATACAAATATACAATGAGTTTGCGATACCTTACTTCCTGCTTTATTATGGTCATTAGCGTCATAGGTTCATCATCCTAACATCTATGGACACTTCTCATACTAAGGTAATCAAACACCGTCAAGAAACATTAGGTTCGTGCACTTCATGCCTAATGGACGTACAGAGATTTATTCACTAAAGGACAAGATGAACTTAAACAAGTATTTTCTCTAAGACACGTCCCAAACTGGTTCTAAGGCGACGTGGTCGTTGCTACAGGATACCTGTGATTAAAAATTTAATAACTTCGACTTTATCTGGTTTAAGGCGTGCGTCAAATCTTGAATATTGACTTCTGTAACTTCTTAAGCTTATGTAGAAAAGAACATTAATTGCTGCTTACTAGAGTTTTAAATTATCCATTTTGCGCTCCTCTAGGCCTTTTTTGGTTTGATGGAACGTAAATCATTCCTAGCTAAGAATGGCAACAGAAGTTGTTAAGTAAAGGCAAACCCTTAGGGCGAACAGCAAGCATCTAGACAGGAAAGGAGTTGGGATTTATGTTATTTTAGTTCTGCTTTATTCGATTTGTGATTTAGTTTTGTGTTGTATTTTGTGTTGAAGCAGAACACAATACAACACAAAACTAAGCGTTTCGCGTGCAATCAATAATTGAAAATTTTAAAGAGATTTCTGTTCTAAGATAATGGGAACTTGAAGATCTATTGTCATATATTAGATTCATATACATATAACAGGGTCTTTCGCAGCAGTAGAGCTCATTGTGAAAGAATCCGTCCAGGGAAGTACTGCCACCTTACCTATTACTGCCGCCAAACAGTAATGTTAGCATTAGTGTGTTCCGGTGAAATTACATGCACACGGAACTTGTCAACTTATGTCTCAGGGTGACGGGCGCAGTGACAGTACCCCCCAGATCTTTGCGATTTAAATCTCTGAGTGGCACTGCAACTGTTATGGACAGGCGTGTAGACGTTACCATCAGGCGCACGACTTGTTCGTCCCGTCACTTGATATAATAAAAAAACATAATCTCAGTACAGAGCACTAAAAAAACCGACCGCAAAAGTTCGTGAACTTACATATATTTGCCAAGTTTATTGAAATCGGTTACCGGAAAGTGCGCGAAATCGGATTCATTCCCTAGTTTGGGAGGACCTAAGAGAGGTCGAATATTTTCTTCAAATTTAAATGGGACCACCACTGAGGTTCGCTTCTTCCAATTAAAAAAATCATCAAAAACGGTTCACAAATTATCGTCTTATCGAGTTAACGAGTTATCGCGTAACAAAAAACATGCAGTTGAATTGAGAATCTCGTTCTTTTTTGAAATCGGTTAAAAAAAGAACACGAAAGAATATATTTTTATTTTTTTTAGATTACGCCGCCGCATTTTAACTAACGTATTTGAACTACGGTACGTATGCTGTTGCTTCACCTGTTAATTAGTAGAATAACTTTACAGCACCTTTCCATTTGTAAAATTCTATATAATAGGTTCATGTGTGACCATACTAACGGAAAGATAAGACAAAAATATTTATAGTCTTTATGCTATCCCATTTTAACTAACGTATTTGAAGCATAGTACGTATCTTGTTACTTCACCTGTTCATTAGTGCAATAACTTTACGGAACCTTTCCATTTGTAAAACTTTATGTATACGTATGTGTGACCAACATACTAACGGAAAGATAACAGAAAAAATATTTTTAGTCTTTATGCTATCGCATTTTAACAAACGTACTTGAAATGCAGTATATATGCTGTAACTTCACCTGTTCTCGGTATTTATTAGTCGAATAAGTTTACAGAACCTTTCCATTCTTAAAACATTACGCATAGCATACTAGTCCGTCAAATGATTTCATATAACAAAGTAGTTTCTTTTTAAGTACAGGACGTTGAAAACAAAGAATAATAATAACTGGACAAGCATAGATCTGCAATAGGCTATTATGAATTATGGTGTCAACGACCTTCCCAGACGACTTTTCTTAAAGTTGTCGACTGAGTTTGGTAGTATGTGCAAAAAAATACGACATGCTGTCCAAGACTCGTTTGTCTGTCACGACTGACTGATTGATAGTTTATTCTAATAGTCAGAAAAGATCATAGTTGAAAGTTTAATTTAGTAAGTGGCAACCAATTTACTCATGACTTGTAAAAAATATGTAATGAAAAAAATAATTGCGGGTACGTAATAGTTTGAATATCTTTCCTTATGTATAATGTAATAATGCTAGACAACCATATCAATTACTTGATCTCAAACAGTACATGTTTTAAACATACGTATTCCATAATGTGTAATATAATATATTCTCACTTCTATGGCTGTTATCTGACATTGAACTGTATTTGTTTTTATGTACAAATAAATTACTTACTCAAACTAGGGAATTCAATGAACTATGAGTACTACCGGGGCACTACCCAGAACATCCAGACCAGAACAGAAAGAAAAGTTCCTACAGGGAGTCGTACCCTGAACCTCATCGTCTAGCGCCCACAGTGCAAACCGTTGGGCAACCGGAGTAATTTCATGAGGACAATTTACATACTTCTGTAACGATGATTGAAAATCATCTCCATGCGACTTACGATAAGAGTGTCCAAAGTTCAAATTATAAAACTCAACGCTCTGTTGACTGTACTACAAATTAACAAACAAATAACGCACACACTCATAGCCCCACACTAGGGAAATCTTGTGTCGCTGTTGAAATGCATACACATGTAGACTACGATTACACTTAAACTCACGAGAGAAATAAATGTAGGCCATGCAAATATTTCTCCCGACCCGAGTATCGAACGCGGGACCTCTGCGTGGCTGAACAGCGTGGTAGCTGTTCGGCCACAGAGACGCTTGTGTTGGCATTGATTAAAAAAGCGATTAAGAAAATTGCGATAATCTTTTATGTTCATTTAATTTTCATTCTATGTTATTATTTACAACAAAAATTACTATAGATTATAAAATAATCGATAACAGATTGTGTTATAACAAAAAAGTGGCAGTGATCAATAGGACTTGTCACAAACTATCGACGCGCAAAAAATACGACTTCTCTGTGGCAAATTGAGAAAGAGCCTTTACATTATTACGCAGGATATGTGGCTAGAGACCAAAATACGCTAGTCGGTTGTTATGATAATCATATGTGTTCGAAGTTGGAGCAACCAGTTGGTTTTTTGCGACAGGTGCAAGCGGCCTTGAC